ATAATGCAGTTTAGTTTTATTTATTTAGTTATAATGCAAATACAATACAAATTAAACCAAGATTTAGAATATTTATCATTTTGATCCATCTGGTAATGTGTGACTGGGCCTCGTGTCACTTTATGTTGAACAAATTGAGCCCCGAGGTCAAAAAGGTTAAGAACACCTGTTTTAAATGACAGTCGTGCAATAAAGCAATAAGAAAAAAATGAGATGAAAGGAGAACATTTTCTGTCAAACATCATGGAGGATGGAAGAAATTACTAAAACAAATCACAATTCAGTGATCATGTACTGGATGTTGATCAAATTCTCAATAAAGCTCGTTGATTACTTGGGTATAAACACACCAAGGAGTTTTCCTCCTTCTTTTCATCACTGTCAAGAAAAAGCACAGGCTTTCAAAAATCAAAGTCAGTGTTCAATATAATTCAGTTTGACGCAAACAACTAAGTAGGCTTTACTACTGCTGTCCATTTTAACATTGATTGTTTTCTCTGTATGGACAAATTTAAGCACCGTAGCAATCTGTGCAGCAGGTATGAAGCCCTTTAAAAATCACAGTTCTAAAGAAATTTGTTAAACAACCCTTTCAGCAAATCCAATTAGTAAGTTGACTAAATCGTTACAAGAACTTCAGTTTGTTGACATTCTCCCTCTATTACTTCAGTCATTTTTGGTGTTCCTGTTGTTCTTTTAGACTTTACAAAAAGATTAGCTTGTCATCCTTTTCCCCCACAACTATGGCCTCTTTACGTCAAAATAACTCACGGTTAATATATCAACCAAAGCACTGTTTACTGTTTTAAGCACTCTGACTAGGGCTGCCACAAACGATTATTTTAATAATCGATTAATCACCGATTATTTATTCGATTAGTCGATTAATCGGACCATATGTTAATTGAATATAAAACATACAGCTTATCACGCCAGAATGCAGCTGCTATTATATAACCATCGTTAGATTTTAGCTATATGCTAACTAAAATTAATTGCTGTGGAAGGTAAGTTCTGCCTTACAAATATTGCAAAGGTTTCTCTTTCATTTTCTTAAAATGATCCCACACTTTTGAGCTCTGTTGCCGAGTAGCCATAATACCAGAGCCTGTCTGTATAATGTCTTGTGACGTCCACGGCCTACCCCAGTTACCACTACTGTGCATGTGTGTCAAGGACAGAAAGGCAGATGTGGCAGTGGAAGGTGTCAAAGCAGTTTGGAGAGAAAAACAAAGTAAAGAACAACAAAAAAAGAAAGAAAATGATTAATCGATTATTAAATTAGTCATCGATTATTTTAATAATCGATTAGTCGTCGATTAATCGATTAATCGTGGCAGCCCTAACTCTGACATCTGCACACTGACATCACACAGACACCCCCACACACAAACACTTACTCCTTTGAAGTCTGAGTCCACGTCAGAGTCCTCCAGGCTCTCCTCCTGTGGGACATTTCTCTTCTTCAGTAAATGTTCATCTCGTTTATTCTGACAAAAGAGGAAAACACAGAAGATCAATGAGGATAGGAGATCAGGTAAACCAATGCATTCATAAATTCCTAAAGAAAAGTTGAAACTCTGTCTTCCAGAAAAAAAAAAACATCCCCCCCTTTAGTGCAACCTTGTGCCAAACTTCAAGTGTTCAATCAGGGGAAAACTGCCTAAAGGAGAAAACACACAACCAGACTCGTCTTTGATGGAACACCCCCCCCCCCCCGAGTCTTTAAATACCAACATGCTCTGCAGCCCCGACAGGCAAATATTCATTCAGCATCCATCTGCAGGGCAGAGTCAGTGGTAGGAGGAGATTCCCTTGCCCTACATTCTTGTGCATCATGCTGATGTGCGTCACTGATGACTAATCAGCCAGTGCTGTTTCGTGTTACTCTAATCCAGCTATTTGGAATGTGCTCCACTTAGGACCCCTTTAGCATCAAGGAGACATTTTTAAGACCTGTAGCTGCGCCAGTATTCTCCAATATACGCCGATAGCTGCGCTACTTAATGTTTTTATTGGACAGTATTGTCTGACGCCCATGTTTGCACAGTAATCATAATTCAGCCCTTTATGAACACTGTCAACCAAAATATGCTAATCTACAAAATAATTTGCTCCACTTCTGATTAGATACTTTTACATGGCTATGTATTTATTTTAAATCAAACTCATTAAGTCCATATACAGTGTAATCAAATTCTCAGAACCAGAAGACTCATTTTCTATCCATCTACATTTAACACAGAGACTAGGCAGAAACTATTTTAATTTTACATCACAACTATGTGTATGTGACCTTAGAAAATATTTTAAAAAAGCTATTAAGTTTACAGATTTTGCAATAATATTTGGTGTTGCATTAGCTGAGACTCATTCCCAACACATTCACCAAGCAATACTAGATCATGCAAAACATTTATTTGAAACATTGGTATACAAGGTGGCAGGCATTATGCATTCTTCCCAGGAATGCTAGTCAATAAATAACTGAGGCTGGGCTTCACATTGTCAGATTCTAACTTAATGCTGAAGCAAAACAAAACTCTTAATCCAGCTAAGATGTTCAATAATTCTTGTATGTTGCAATGAATTAGTTTAAAAACATCACTGTTTAAAGATAAAAGAACCCTGAGATGCACCAAACTAAAAAGTACATGGGTGAGTTATCCATTCACAAACAAAACATAAATTCAAATATTACCGTAGATGTTCTCATTTTCTATTTTGGTCTACATCAGTCATGCCAACAATTTAAAATCTGATAAAGCTGTCATGTAGTGTACTTTCCTGCTTTATTAATTTGTATAACTATGACATATGGACATTCCACATCTTGCCTTTGTATGACTCCCACTGACATCTGTGTGAGCTGGTAGGTTGTTGCACACACTGAAGAAACTCCAGTCGAGTCTGTTGCAACTTCTACTTTGTAAAAACAGCCTGAGTGTGCCTTTATATTCCTCATTTTAGTGATGAAATACCCCAAGCTCTTGCTCCTCTGTCTATGTAACAGATATTTTAGAACTGCTATATTTGTTTTTCAGAGTTTGCAGTTGAGAAAAGCCAGCATCACAGGCCTGCAGAAGTGTTAAATGCTTTGAAAACGGTAATCTTGGAGAATTTTTTGCTTGTGTGTCTGCGTAATAAGTGTAATTAAAATGCTTTTGCACCAATAGCAACTTACCATTATAATCCAATTTTTAAATTACTTTTTTAGTTAAAAAATGGAGTTCTGATCATATATTTGGGTTTAATGAACCAATCTAGAAATAGTTGTGTTTGTGTTAAGATGCAGGCTACTGATTTTGACAGAACTGAACACGTCTGCTTGTCACGAAAATAAACAAATTCAGTCACAACCTATTTTTATTAAGATCATTTTAATTAAGGCTGAAACTACTAAAAATGCATAAAAGGTTTTATTTTAAACAAGACTGACTCAATGTAACCATCTTAATTTTGTTTCTGTAATACCCAGTGAAATTATCAATCCTATATCTGAGATGTATTCTATTGATATTAAACGCGTGTTTAATACGATATTTATCGTTATTGAATTTCTGCCCAGCCCTACAGAAAGGTAAATGTGTTAAAGTCAATTAAATGTCACAACGGCTTGCCATGCCCATCTGCGTTTTGCAGCGTCTGTTTCAATTCACTTTGCTCCACACAGCTGCTGATGGAGAGATGGCGATGTTTTAGAAACAGGGCTTAAACTTTTAGAGTGATTCATCTTCATCCACTCAGAGAGTTCCATCGAGTGGAACTTTATCACATGGTAGAACAGATTCAATGTGTTCCCGCTGCGAGTTGGCACCAGACTCCAGCACATTTTACAGCAGACTGAAAGATGAAGTTTAAAAACCTTCGATACCTGAACCACCTCCACACCACTGAATTACGGTAGTCTTGTCTATTTTAACTCGTTCTTCTGCTTCTTTTTCCAACTGTGGATGCTTGTTCACTCACAGCTGTTGAGTTCATTTTGGCACTGATATCCACTGTGTTGTGGGTAGTGCTGTTAGCATGGTGTAAACTGAGTGGTCGCATAGAGCACTGCCTTTGAGCCTGTGGTGTACGTCATTGTGAACTGAGGTAGTGTACACTCACCGGCCACTTTATTAGGTACACCTGTCCAACTGCTCGTTAACACTTAATATCTAATCAGCCAATCACATGGCGGCAACTCAGTGCATTTAGGCATGTAGACATGGTCAAGACAATCTCCTGCAGTTCAAACCGAGCATCAGTATGGGGAAGA